AATAATTCTCTTAAATCCTGGCACACAAAGGAAATGGAATTGCCTGTATCTCAGGAAGCATTTAGACCACTTTTTCTGGTCTCTTTTGTAAAAACCATAAGCACAAGTTTCTCAAACATTAACATCATAATGTTAAGGGAGAAGAAATCTGGAAAGCAGAGATGAAACAGCATGTTAGTAAGTACTTCCTCCACTTTCATGAATTGCAAGAAGCCAATTATAGTAATTCCTAAAAGAAAACCTGAAAGAGAGATATCCAAAATTCCTCCAGCTTCTCTACTCTCACCAAACAAATATGAAGACGAGAGCCAGACAAGAACGAGCTAGGATACTAGCATATACTATCTCCAATTCCCACAAGTGCATGAATTTTCTGAACTTGCATGGGCCTGCAGTGAGGACTGGTGTTGAGGATTACAGAAGTAGGAACACTGCATCAAGTTGAGCAAAGCTTTAGGAATTAATATATAAAAATTACTTCACCAAGAATGCCTAGGGAATTTCCCCAAGCAGACCTTAAATGCATACAAGAGAAGATATTATCCATTACAAATGGGAAGCTGCTTTACTTCTCAAAAATAAAAAAACTGAACCAGTATTTCTTGAACGATACACCAGTTCTGCAATAGAAAATGGTAAAATACAGATTAGTATTTTGAGCCTCTGGAACTTAATATCCCTCTTCTGCAAATGTTTTGCCAGAGGCTAAAGAAAACTGTGTACAAGTGTATCTGTCTAATATGTACCTTCCATTCAAAAAACCAACATATATGCCCTAGAGTATTTTCATGCATGCACATCAGAAGCATTTATCTACAAGGAATTGAGGGCTAGATGCATGAAAGTATTGGGATGTTTAGAAGCTTGAGACACCGCTCTGCCATTGTCTACACTATCCAGGCACTGGTTCTCCCTAATCACTTAATTTTCCAAACAAGACCTATAGAACAACAAGTCATTGTAAGGGACATATGCCTTCATACTGATATGTTCTATACCAGCCTCAGTGGGACTCTCAAACCAAGTATTTCCAGATGGAAATGTGGGGTTTCCAACTGGGCACATTCTTGGCTGTAGGGCTCAATCGAATGAATCATCAGACCCGGACTAGGGTGCATATGAAACCAAGAAAGGTCTCAAAGCATTGACCTGTTGATCCTCAACTGGCATATAGTATAGAAATGTTCAAATACTTTGTCTGTCTCTTCTGTAGCAGGTACATTAACTCTTCCTGCAGAAAATTCCTTAAACACTAGGAACACAAGATGAAAGAAAAGGCATCTTGTAAAATCTCCTATTAAAGCTATTGCCATTTCATAAAATATCAATTAACAATATTAATAAGATAATGAACAGTTTGAAAATATTTCCACAGTCCATTGGTACACATGTTTTACACAAGTTACACAAATCAGATCACATATGATGTCCTCAGCATAGAAGGCAGAAAGACCTGAATCCCAAAACAATTAAAAGCACAACAGTTAACACATTTTCCCGGTAAGATGCAGACAAAGCAACAGCAAGGCTTACATGGCTTTGGTTCATAATTCTAGAGAAAAAGAAAAACCCACACAGAGGGGAACTTTTATCTCTATGGCTCTTTCTGCATAAGCTGCAGAAAGTTTTTAAACAAAACCTCAGACATGCAGAGTTCTCAGTCCATAACACAAATCATACTTAGTAATCACATTTAGCAGCTCTTCAGCTAACTACATACAGCAAAAGCACAAAGGGACAAGGAAGTTAAAATTACAGAACCTCAGAATATGCTGAGTAGGAAGAGACCTATAGGTATCACTGAGTTCGACTCAGTTCTACAAGGGACATGCCAAGAGTCACAGCAGGTGCCTGAGGGTATTGTCCAAACGCTTCTTGAAATCTATCTGGCTTGGTACTTGGACCACTTCCCTCAGGAGCCTGTTCTAGTGCCCAAAAACCATCTGGGTGAAGGTTTTCCTAATATCCAGCCTCAACTTCACCTGACACAACTTCCGGCCATTTCCTTGGGTCATGTCATCAGTCACACAGAGATCAGTGTCTGCCCCTTCTCTTCCTCTCACAAGGAAGTTGCAAGCTGCAATAATTCAGACTGTCTCCCCTCAGTCTCCTCTTCTCCAGGCAGCACAGACCAAGTGACCTCAGCTGTTCCTCTGTTGAACTTCATGCAGTTGGTGATTGCCCATCTTTCTAACCAGGGTCTCTATGCAGAGCCTCCCTCTGAGGGAGTCAACAGCTCCTCCCAGATTTGTATGACCTGGGAATATGCTTAGTGTCCCTTCCAGTCCTGAGTCCAAGTCATGTATGAAGATGTCAAAGAGCACAGGCCTGATGATGGAGCCCTGTGGAACCCCCCAGTGACAGGTCCCCAATCTGATACCACCCCATTCACTGTAACCCTTTGAGTCCAGCCAGTTCTCACCCATCCCATGATGTGTTTGTCCAGCTGTGAGCTGGACATTTTGTCCAAAGGAATACAGTGAGAGTGAGTAATGGAAGCTTTACTGAAATCCAAAAAGATCACACCAATTGGTTTCCCTTGATCAACTGTGTGGATTACCTTGTCATAAAAGGAAGACTCAATAAGCAGGACTTTCTTTTAATGAAGCTGTGCTGGATGTGACCAAGGACTGCATTGTCTTTCAGGTGTTTTTCAACACCTCTCAGGATAAGTTTCTTCATAACTTCACCAGGCACTGACATGAGACTGACAGGCCTGTGGAAAGGGTCCTCCTCCTTGCCCTTCTTGAGAAGTGGGACAATGTTTGCCAACTTCCAGTCAGCTGGGACTCTTAGGATTTCCAAGACTGCTCAAAAATCCATGACAGGAGGTTTGTAATCACATCACCCCGCTCTTTGAGGATTCTTGGATGAATCCTATCAGGTCCCATAGATTTGCAGAGATCCAGCTAGAACTGGGAGGGTTGGGAGTTGATCATTCTCACACTCATGGTCCTCTAGCTCTATGCACAGACATAGGCATGTTTTGGTACAGCTGCCTTTGTTCTTCCATCCTTCTTAGAACCAAGGGAATATGACCTTGGGTTTTATCAGAAGTAAGCAATATATTTGCATTATGTAGCAGAAAAAGAGACTACTTCTAATTTCAGGGTTCACAATTTTAAAGGCATGGCCATTTAAAAAATGTATCAGTCAGGCTGCTGCTTCTGCCACTTATAAGGGCACTTTGGTGTAATTTTACTGCTTAATGAGCTTGTACACTAGAAAATAAAACCCTTGAAGAAAGACATATCAACTCTATTTTTCAGATAATTTCTTATCACAAACACACTTTCATAGATGTTGACTATACAGATATTTGTGTAGTCTATAGGGACAATATTTTTTCTCAAAACTGGCAACTACCCCAGACAGTAAATTTAAAACAAAGCTTTTATGTTGCAAGAACACCAAACAGCTCATATTTTTATCTGAGGTTTACAGATTTGCACTGAAAAGCTGTACCTTCTTAAAAGTACCCCTTAAGACTAATAAATCAGCAATATGGAGTGCAAAACATGACTCTCAGTTTTTGTCTAGTTTGCTGTCTTGCAACAGAAACAACAACTAATAAACAACCCACACAACTCAGTTCCTGTCATGGCCACGTACACTCAAGAGACCACCCTCTCAAGCCCCTGCCATATTCCTACGACTAGCATGTACCATGGATGATACTGTGAACACAGTGCTAGCTCAGAGGTGCTGGAGCACTAATAGCTGCATGATATTTCTCCAGTCTGCTCCAGGACAGTGCTCTAGCTCAAAATCAACTCTACATACTTCATGCCCATGCACTGCTCCAGTTATTTACATCAACCTTCAGCAGTTCAGCAAGGTACACTTTACCAGTAAGTGTAAATTCAAATAGAACTACAAAAGAAATAAGGATGGTTTCAGCATGTATCTTACTATTCCCAATGCTCTCTTCAAAGGCTTGTTTCCAAAAATACTTCAGTGAAGACCTCCATATAACCTTAAAGCCTAAGGATGTATTATTTAAATAGTATATACAGTCTGATGGATTTTTACATCTAATGCAAGTATCTATCCCTTTATTTTTTCCAGAAGCTTACAGATAATCAGATTAGATGACAACTCACTTTAACATCCTCTGCTCCCAAACATGAGGCATGGCCAAGGCCACTCATCTCTCTAAATCTAAAATATTTGAAAGCTGTTATCAAAACCTCTCCTCATATACAGTACTACAGTACTATAACCTCTGTTTATCTGAACAAGTGTCATAGTTATATAGTAGATATTTTTTCATTTTTCAGTTTCTTTCTTTCTGACAGGTTACAAAGTACCTTACAACTAGCAATCTGAACCAGGACAGCGTGTTTCAGCTAGAAAGATGCTGAAAGGACAACAGGTGACCAGCATATTCTCATAACAATAAGGGCAAAGGCTGAATAACTAAGATCACTGTACCTGACCATTACTCTTTCACAAACACCACAGGACACTAGGCTGAAGAAAGATGCCCCAGCAGCCTTAAACATCTCATCAGACTGATGCTGCAAAACACACACACATGTGCATCTTGAACAGAGTGGTCAATCAGAGGAGTACCTGCATCATCATATTTCTTTATATTCATTACCTAATAGACAAAATATTTAAGATACCTCACATACCACAGAGAAATAGATGTTTGCATATCACTTGATTTCCAGGGTTTGTAAACAAGCCCAATAATCTTAATATATAGACAGTTTGGTTTGACATGGTTGCTTTCAGAGATACGCAGCCAAACACAGCAACCTCTGATCAGCAAGACTCCCAACTATGTTTAGGCCTTTGGCACAAAATAAAAATTGTCACTGATGTCTTCTTTGTATTTCTAGTGAGAGTTTACCTGAGTAAACACAGGAAGGAAGATTGCACACAAAGCCAGCAAGCCAGACACAGGGCAAATTTAGGCACAGGTTCCTATGTGTTGCATACCACTGATATATAAAAGTTAAATTGTTTCAGAAAACAAAAAAGTGTCTTACCTTTCTGCACATGGATAATGTCTGGAAAGTTGGCCAAATGCCCCTGATACAATGCTAACAAATCCATCACAGGATCTAGGTCCTGCCGGGGCTGATCTGCAAAGAGGTCCCCGATGGCATCATAGGCTTCTGCAGTGAAGGCTATGGCTTGGTTGAGGCCAGCCGAAAAGGCCTGCTGGTCCAGCTCAAATGCCTGACTGAGGCACTTGAAGGAGTGCCCCACCTTCTGGTATTCCTTCTTGAAACCAGTGACTTGTTTGCGGGCAAACTCGTTGGCCGTGTGATTAAGTTGCAGGGCACTCTCATCCATCTTCTTGGTGAAGGCTTTGAAGCCATCCACCTGGCTTTCCACCTCCTGCAAGTCTAGGCTGGCCCCAGGGCCTGTAGGGACACTGATGGTCAGAAAAAAATTGGCACCCACCATCTCATCCTTTTCAGCCTTGCGCTTGCCCTGTTTCCAGGCCTTCTCATCCGTGCTGGGACAGGTGAGGAAGTGCTGGAAGGCATCACATTGAGCCAGCACAGGGTGGCTGCACATGTGGTCCATCCACCAGGCCAGGCCTTTGCGACGTTTGGAGATGAAGTCCTCTTCAAAGCGGCCAGTGGCCTGCTTCTCTGGCAAGTGTGGCACGGAGATGACAGGGAACTTCTCAGCCAGGCGCCCATAGAGCCAGTCAAAGTGCTTGTAGCGGCGGTGCACCTGCTGCCCCGTGTGGCTGGGCACCAGCTTGTAGGCAATGTAACTCTTCATGCCCTTGAATTTGGTCTGTTTGGTGGGGTCCTCGATGGAGCACTGGAAGGGGTAGGGGTTCTCTTGCCACTCAGGGCCCCTGGGGCCCAGCACTACGCACAGCTTGTCCCCGTCCTTCACGAAGCCCGACGCCTCGCCCAGCACGAAGGCCTCTCCGCCGGACTTGACGAAGGTGGAGAAGCGATTGAGATTGCGGCTCACCGTGGCCGAGCTCTTGGCGCCACCGCCGCCGCCGGGGGGGTGCGGGTGTCCCGGTGGATGCCCCGCGCCGCGGGGGCCCAGGGACGGCTCGGAGCGCGTGGACAGGCGGTACCGGCCCGAGGCGCCGCCGCCCGCCGCCTCGTAGTCGGGGTAGGAGCTGCCCAGGGCGCCCGGCTCGTCGGCCACCGTGGAGCTGTCGTCCCAGTCGTCGTCCCAGTCGTCATCGCTGCCCTGGCTGGGCTGGTAGGAGCCGCCGTAGGGCGGAAAGGGATACCCGGCGGGGGGCGGCGGGAAGGGCTCGGGCGGAGGCTGCTGCGCCGCTGGCTTGAAGGCGGCGGGGGGCGGCAGCGGCTCGAATCCGCCGACGGGGACGTTTGCGTAGCGGGCGGGCGGCGGCTCGGCGGCGGGGGCGCGGATCACCTGCACGTAAGAAGCCGGGAAGAGCCCGCGGTCCCCGCGGCTGTTGACGCCCTCCAGCCACCCCTCGATGTCCTGCTCGCTGCACAAGCTCAGCACCTCGTGCTCCCGCAGCGAGATCTCACCCGGGTTCTCCGACCTGAAGTCGTACAGCGCCCGCGCCCGCAGCGCCATCGCCGCCCACCGGGGCGCTTCCTGCGCCGCCGCCCCTCACCGCGTCGCGCTGGCGGGGCTGTCGCAGAGTGCCGCCGCCCTCGGACTCCTCGTCCCGTCGGCGGCCTGCCCGGTGCAGCTCCCGGTGCAGCTCCGGTGCCGCTCCCGGAGCCGGCGGCGGGCGCGGAGCCGGGCCGGGCCGTCCCACGTCGCCAGTTGCGCTAATCCAGAGCCGAGCGGCAGGGCGGAGCAGCCGAGCGCAGAGCGGCCGCCCCCATCGATGGCCCCCCCCCTCCCTACGCCCCCTGCCGGCCGCGGGGCTGGGGGGCCGCGCCCGGGCCCGGTGTCCGCCTGCCCCGCCAGCCTCCGGCGCTCGATCGCCGCCAGCGCCTCCCGATCGCTCGAGGGCGCGTCAGCGCTTCCCCGCGTCCGGCCGGGAAGCTTCCCGAGCCCTCGGGTCTTCTCCCTGCGCTCCGGTGCCGCCGCCGCCGCGGGAGCCGCGCCAGGCGGGTGCTGGTGCTGCCGGGGCTCCTCCGGCTGCCTGCTGCCCCCACAGAAAAAGAATGTCAGGGTGCGTTTTGCTCGTGGATAACGCGTATTTTAGCCTTCGCGAAAAATGTAGTCATGCCACTGATGTTGGTGTTCTGTGGACCAGCCTCAGCCCGTCCGAGGCGCTTTTTTCTCCTGCGTGGTTATTTCCCCCCTCCTTTGCTCCTGGTCCTGTGTTGTCTAGTCGTATGGATTCTGTCCCCTCAATCACCTTTTACCTCTCTTTGGCTCCCTAGGTACAAGTTTTTCTCAAAATTTCTACCTGTTCATGAGCAAATAGAAGGAAGTGTTTCTAGAGGAGATGTTCCAAGTTTCTAGTCCCCGGTTCTTCATGTTTTCTCATTAGCATCTGGATATCTTGCTTATTTCTCTGTTTCTCTGCCGTAGTTTAGGGAGTATGTTACTTCATAGATTTGTGTCAAATAATTTGTCTTCATCTGGAAGCAATTCACTGGAATGCTACAAGACCCACTGTTTCCTTTCATTGCTGGTTTTAGTGTTTGATACCTAGGGTTTACGTTTTACACTTCTTCGGACCTTCATTTTCTCCATGGATTATCACAGTAATTTCCTGTTACTATTTCTGAGTTTGTCTTCTCAATTTTTTTTTTTTTTTGATATGTCAGCTCACCCCAGTCCAACATGTTAGCCTCAAACTCCTTTAATGCTTAAATCTGGAAGTCTGTTTTGATTAGTGAGTACAGTCACCAAAGAAGCGCGTAATTCACCACACAACCAGCTCCTCAGTGGCCGGCCCTGTGGAACACATTTGTGTTGCAGCAAGTTTACAGAGAGCAATTCTGAGTATATACAGCAGTACTAAGGTGAGAAGCATCAGCCATCTCCTGAGAGAGAGCAGCTGGTAGAAACACCCTGACCTGGCCTGGTCATCATCACTCACCGCTGACCAGCAGGCCCTGGGGCGAGCCCCAAACCCTGGATCAGCACCTGTTAGTTCTCTCAGAACCACCACGGCTCTCTTTGCATCAGTCAGCGTTCTTCCCCTGCAGATGATGCTCCGTCAGTGTCTGCCTTTCACACAGGTCTGGTTCTCTTCTGCTAAACACAGAGATAGCCATGGCAGCTGGCCCACAGCCCACCATGCTGCTGCCCACCCACTGGCCAACTTACAGTAAGGACTAAAACCCCAACAGGAGGTAGATGTGGATCAGTTTGACCTTGGTTTTAGATTTCGTCCCAAATTCTGACTGCTGCAGATAAAGATAAGTTATTGGGATTTTGTATTCCTTCCAAAGTTACTGTTAACTGTCATCTGGGAAATCTTATGCATTCATGTGAATCCTTACAGGTGAAACTACAGAAGAATAGTCCTTGATCTGCCTTCTTTTTACTACTTACTGCATTTTATATATTTGACTGCACTGATCCAACTCCTTTCCTAAACTTTTCACTCGTATTCATCTAAATTTCAGTGTTCTTAATGATTAATGTCGTTTTCTCTGAATAGACAAAATTCTTCTTTGTTACATGAAGTGAACGGTACTAGACATGATGCTGACCAACTTGATTTGTTTTAAACAGATATTTAAGATTTGCTCTCATTGGACAACCTGGAGTGGCAAACAGATGCCTTGCACAAGTGCAGAGCTGGTTCAGGAATGGGATTTTCCTGCTCCAAGTGGTCATGCTGACAGTGCCTGTCAGGCTGTGGCTGTCACAGCCGGGGCAGGACAAAGGGACAGCTTCGAGCTGGGCAACTCTCTTAATTCCTTAGGTCTGGTGTAGGTGGCAGCTGTCCTACTTCCTCCTGCTCCCCTCAGTGCATTTGGCCTGATTTTTCTCTAGTAAGTATTGGCTTGGTGTTTGCATCTCAGATGAGCAGAAGCAAAGGTGTCAAGTCCAACAGGGACAAAAACTGCTACCAGAAGAATTTGAAGGTGTAAGATCTATAAAGCTAATGAAAATAGCATTTCTTAATTATATAGGTGTAATTTTTAAAGTAGTTTTTCTCTAAGATCTTTCAGTTTTATCTGAAGACTTTAACAAAAAATTAAAGTATGTGACATGAGTCATGGTTTTTCCAGCACTAATGCTTTCAATAAGGCAAGAATATGCAAGGAAAATGTGTGCTATGTTATTTTCCTAGTGATCAAAACTACAAAAAGAATTTGGAACAATAAAAAGGTTGCAAATGACGTTTTCCATCCTTTCCCACCCATGAGCCAACTCTGATTACCACAGTGCTGAGGCACTCTGTTGTGGATATTATAAATAACATCTTAAAACCATCAATTATTATTTTCAAGAAAACTAACCTGCAAAACTAGAAGCCATTCTAACAAACATTTTTTAAATGTTTGAAAAAAAATGGCTTCCAAAGTCCTCAATAACCATCTGCAGTGCCAAGCAGTAGAGCTGGATTCACTGAGCTTTTTTTCTTGCTGTTTGGGCTAGGAGAGACAATGGTTTCAAAGTAAGAATGGCATATAGTAACTTAGAGCATTTTAGCTGCACAAAGCATGTATTTAAATGCTTTTCTTGGTCAGAAATTTCTACCATCTTCATTGGGAATTGAATTTTCAGAGGCAAAGTGAATGTTATTATGAAGACTAATAACCTGTAATTCAGTCAAAATGTCTATTATTTACCGTGTTCCTAGGGACCTGTAATTTGAGGGAGTAAAGCTGAAAGCCAGACTAAAACCAAATGGACACCAAAGACTCCTTGTATGTGAGTTTGTTGTTTCAAGACACCATTAATAAGTGCTAAAAAGAGACGTTTGAAAGCAGCATGATTTTTTGCTGATCAGGTGCAGAAAATTAGGAAAAAAAATTTGGAAACATTTAAACATTTTTGAAAAAAAAAAAAGTATGGTTTTAATCTATCTTGAATTAAGAAGAAGTGAAAGAAGAGAGGCTCTGAACTCAAATGTAATGGAAGCTTATATTGCCTTGTGAAACTTTTCATTGAAAGTGTCAAATTTTCCCATCTTTATTTTGTTACTGTTTCTTTTTGCTATTACTGTGCTGTTTTAGAAAGAAAAGCAAAATGAATTGCCATGAGAGAAGATGAAACTTTGGTGGCACTAAACCTTTTCTTTATGATGATACTCCGCTGTGGACCCTGGAAAAAACATGTGTCTGGATGCTGAACAGTGCTCTAATAGGAAATACACTGAATAATGCTTTGTGCAAGGAAATGGCTACAAATAGGTTGGTTTTCATCAGTACAATTTCTAAGAGCAAATTTGATGAAATGCTTACACAGTATATGTGATTTTTCGGGAGTTTTGCTACTTTTGGTAAATATGTAGCTGGTGTTACTACCTCATCATAACTAGAGCTGAGTGTAATTTTTGGAAACCATACAGATTGATAATGAATTTCACTTAGTAGGGGAAAAAACAGTTTTGCTTCCATTTTTATGCAAACTCTGACAGGAAAGTCACAGTTTGGGTACCTGGCAGGGCTGCCACTAGAGGGCACAAAATGATTTTAAACACAAAATTATTTAAACATTTCACTTGCTGAAAGTAAAAAGCTAAAGGCAAGGAAAGACTTTGGACTATCAAATCAGTAAAGAAAATGCAATAAATTTGACAAACGTGTTATTCTAGTGGTATTTTTTTCAGTTTCTGAAAGATGGAATATGATTTTATTTGAAATGTTTCATAAAATCTTACTTGAAAACAAAATGGAGAGAAATGAAGACACTTATAGTGTTCTATAAACTGAAATTTAGAAAAAGATTCAGTGAATTTTAGAAGAAAACAAAATATTTTTCAATAACAAGCATGAATTTAACAAAAATTGCATTGCTTTTTTCAAACTAGGTTGTGTAAAGTTAGAGATAATTGATCAGAAACACTGAGGGTTTTGCTTGGCATTTGCAATATATGTTGGCTATCTCAGCCCCAGTCTGTGTAATAGGTGGCTGTTACTCAGTTTTCTGCACTCTCCATTTAATATTACTTGGATTGTGCGTCTGTCTCCATTTCCTGTCTGAAGGGATAATGCTGGAAAACATCTAAGGATGCTGTCAGGATAAATCCTGTACGGCTGCAGTTCTTCCATGCTGTGGCAGGGGTGATACGTGCTAGGCTGACATTGTGACCGTGCTGAGTCTCTCATGGTTATGGACAAATGGGCCCATGCCAACTGCCAGTCCCTGGGCATGCACACAGGCAGAATTTACCTGCTGAATAAAGACTGAGACAGAAAAAGAGGATGAATGAGCCTGCTGAACTTTGTCCTGAGCTACCTAAGTCCTTGAGGGATAATCTCAATCTTATGTTTATCAGTCCAATACCTTTAGTAATAACAAATACTTGATAAAAAGCAAACTTGAGAGCTAAGTGTGTAGCTGATGTTGAGGCCAGCATTATATCCATGTACCATATAAATGTGGCGTGAAAGTAAAGTTATCCCAGCAACAAACCCATTGTATAGGATGAAGAAGTCATAGTATAGTGAGAATAGAGAATTGAGCATTCATTAATTTCCTGCATGCATATTTCCCTGTCTTCACCCAGGACAGAGAAATTGCAGAGAAGAACTCCTTAGCAGGGTCTCTGCTTGTGTTAACCTTGGGAAAATAAATATTGATGGGTTTACCTTGGGAAAATAAATACTGATGGGTTCTAAAAATCCACAGGACTTGGGCTGCAGTTGCTCTGGTCAGTGCAGAAAGGTGCCTGGCAGAGGCTGGTTGCCCACTGAAGGACTAGTCACTGGCAGCTCCTCAGTTATAC